GAGCCAACAAAGAGAATGGTGGTCGCTAACTATGTTGAATGGGCAGCCATACAAGTATGGGCGGAACTTTGTTATGGCCCAGACAACAACGAGGCATTCCTTTTCGGTTGCAGAATAGTTTTTCTTCGCTGGGGATAACGTTCTGCTCGCATAAGCGATCAGGCGCTCTACGCCATTATGCCACTGAACTAATACCGCTCCTAGTCCAACGTTGCTGGCATCAGTGTGTAATTTCGTGTCAGCGCTTTCGTCAAAATGACCTAGTACAGGCGGAGCCTGGAGGAGGTTTGAGAATGTGTCGAACGCATGGCACTGATCAGGACACCAAACAAACGAGACACCGTCTTTTGTAAGCATGTTGAGGGGTTCAGCAATCTTCGAGAAGTTTTTGACAAAGCGCCTGTAATACGCACACAGCCCCAGAAATCGACGTAGGTCGCGCTTATTTGTGGGCACGGGAAAGGCGGCAACGGCGCGGGTTTTTTCAGGATCTGGGCGGATGCCGGCATGGCTCACAACGTGACCAAGGAACTTCAGTTCTCCATATCCAAAATGACATTTGTCGGGTTTGAGAGACAACCCCTCTGTTCTGATTGCCTGAAGAACTGCATGAAGGTGATGGACGTGTTGTTCAAACGTGTCTGCAAAAACCCCGACGTCATCGAGATAAACAAGACATGACTGCCATTTGAGCCCCGTGAGAACCGTATCCATCATTCTTTGAAAAGTAGCTGGCGCTGAGCATAGATCGAAAGGCAACACTTTAAACTCGTACAGACCGTCGGGAGTAATAAACGCCGTCTTTTCGCAGTCGCGCTTGTCCACTGCGATTTGCCAGTAGCCGCTACACAAATCCATGGAGGAAAAATATTTAGCGTTGCGTATACGGTCCAACGAGTCACCTATCCGGGGTAGAGGATAAATGTCCTTTTTGGTGACCTTGTTCTGTTTACGGTAATCAACGCAAAAACGCAACGTACCGTCCTTCTTCTTCACTAGCACAACTGGCGAAGCCCAGGGACTGGTCGATGGCTGAATGACGTCGTCCTGAAGTATCTGCTGGACTTGGTCAAGTATAGCATCTTGCTCTTTTTGCGGTAGGTTCCGTGACAATACGATGTTGCGCAAGTGGTGTCTGTTTAACCTTTGACGTAGTGGCAAAGCAGTCTTGAAATGAGTCGAGTATACGCAAAAGGCTTTCTCGTTGAGCCGAAGGTAGTCTTTCGTTTACGTCGAGAGTGCTCGCGAAGGCCTCCTCAGTGTGGCCATTCGATGACAATGAAGCTAACGTAGACGGACCATCGGCATCGACAAGTTCTTCACAATATGCAATGGCAGTGTGTCTCGTTAGGTAGCGATATTCGTCGCTGAAGTTCATGACCAGCAGGTGAGCATGCCTATTGCTAGGCTGAATGATTCCTCGGGTAACACAGATTTGTCGTGAAATAAGGAGAGACAAATTGGCCTCTGCAATTACCGCGTCAGACACGTCCTGTCCCAATTCTACATTGACAAAGAGGCTGCTTCGAGGTGGGAGAGTCAGAGAATCGTCGGTGACACGGAGCGCTCTCTTCCGGAATTGCATACTGTCAGTTGCAGCACAAGAAGGATCCTCGAATGACACAAGTAATTCACGGAGGTCGATGACGGCGCCGTATTCACGAAGGAAGTCCATTCCTAGAATGACTGGCCGAGAGCACACGCGCAATACGAGGAAAGAGCCCGCAAATGTCGACGTACGTATTCGAATGCGTGCCCTGCACATACCAGTAGGCGTCATCAGATGGCCACCTGCCATGCGCAACTGGGGTCCTGGCCATGGCGTGGTAACCTTCCTCAGTTCAGATGCCAGTGTGGCGCTCATTGCGGAATAGTCGGCAATTTCGGCAGAAACAATATTTTTGCTGTCGGAGAACACTGCAAAACCGGAATCGTCCTCGTCCGGTCGTTGCGTCGAAGCAGGGTCTTTTACAGTTCGCCGGGCCGCGACTTCACCCCCAGAAGTCGCCGTTCCTAGTTTCCCCTGCGGGGACTTGGTGACCGGCTCCTGAAAGGAGCGGAAGATGATGAGGGCAAACTGGTTGACGTAGACCGGCGAAGCGATGGTGATCTCGACTGGTGGTGCTGAATAGTCGAAGGAGTACGTTGACTTGTGAGATAGGCTTCGATTTCGCGGGGGCGCTCACCGTAGCGCGGGCATCGAGCATCAGAGTTGAAGCCGCGGAGACCTAGTTGCCGGTATTGACAGTTACGGTATACGTGACCCGCTTCGCCACAGTGATAGCAGAGCGGACAGTTATCCGAGGTGCGCCACGTGCTTGCCTTGCTACCACTTTGTCTTGAGATAGACGACAGATAGGTGGGTGGGCTCGAAAACCTTGAGCCGAGAGGCGGGCTCGAAGCAGTGTCGTGGAATGGTTGCATAGCCTGGTACCTTGGCCACATAGCAGTATCTGTAGCCGGTGGCGCAGGGGATCGCAATGCCGCTGCGTATGTCAGGACTGGGGCCTCGGGAATCGGTGGTGCGAGTGGGGCCAGGGGTGTGACGGCCTGCCGGACTTCTTGTCTGATTACATCCGCGAGGGCTGACACAGGTGGATGGGATCTCACTGCCTGAAGCTGTCGCAATTCGTCCCGAACGATACTTCGAATGAAGTCTGCGAGGGCCTGTCTCTCGCTGTCAGAGCCGATAGAGCATGTGGTCGCCGGGATCTGGCGTTCGTATTGTGACGACCGCGGCTGCAGTGTACGTTCCATCGTGGCTGCCTCACTGATGAACTGGGCGACTGTCGTCGGTGGATTGCGCACGAGCCCAGCGAAAAGCTGTTTTTTTACTCCGCGCATCAAATGCCTCACTTTCTTTTCCTCGGGCATGGAAGGGTCCGCGCGCTTGAGGAGTCGAAGCATGTCCTCGACAAACATGGATACATGTTCGTTCGGCCGCTGGTTTCTGCAGGATATGGCTTGTTCAGCCCTCTCCTTCCTCTCGGTGTTACGATAGGTGTCACGGAGCTGTCGGCTAAACTCTTGCCATGTTGCAAAGGAGCCCTCGTGGTTCTCGTACCACGTATTCGCAGAATCCTCCAAGTAGAAGTAAACTCGGCGCAGCTTGCGAACATCGTCCCATTCGTTGATACTGGCAACCCGATCAAAGTGGTCGAGCCGGTCATCAACATCCTCGAAGATGTCTCCATGGAACGGCTTTGGTGTCTGTGGCACGTGAAAAACATGCGCGAGAAGAGAACCATGGGCATCGCTGGTTTGAACCGCCTGGCTTGTCATCGCAGTTGCCATCTTTCTGGGTGTCGATGCCAAGGGACCAAATTTAGGGGGTAACCCACGCAGGCGGCGGCTGATTCTTGCTCTGGGAGATGTAGCTGTCTCCACGATGGCCGACACAACCGAAGTACACGTACCCAGCGTCTCCACCAGTAATGTCACGAGCAAAACAAGACCTGCAGCCAGGAGTTCACTTGAACCAGAGCAACGAAGATGTTCTCCTCTGCCTCGCAGCCCAAAAACACGCATTAGCCACAGTGGCTCGTTCCTCAATGGTGGCAATATAAAACCGTGGATGAGAGCTTCGTTTTTGTTTGTCATTGAGTGACCTTTGCTTATTTTAGTAGGTGTTTTGAGTTATCACAGAAACTGGGAAACCGTCCGACCCCATCTCTTGAGACACCGTCACTTGAGATGTCATTGTGCAGTCACATAATGTTTATACTTCTCGAGCTTAGGATGACGCCAAGTGGAATTGACAATGTGCACAAAGCCGCCCTCACACTGAAATGATTCTCGTGAACAGAGGGTATGACGCTTACAAATAGTGTTCTTATTACTCTGCTTATGCAGCCCAGCAAGGCCACACGTTCCCGTAGATCGTTATGAGCATGTGTATAAAAAAGCAACTAAAATTGCACTAACAAACAGAACAAACAGCCCTTCGAGTACGTGCATGAGATATGTGGACTAGCGAACACGCCATGGCTAGCAGACAATGCAGGACACCATCCACACTACACGTGATTCATACAACAGACACCAGGCAGTGTTTCCACTCTATCTTGTGCCATGCACATGTCTAAAGCTTTTCACTGTATTCTATCGCAACCACTGTGAACAAAACCGCAATCATGTCGCCTTGTTCATTAGCGATCCCTAAACTGTGAAAGTATGGGTGCATCCGAAGCACACCATGGGTAAAAGTGATACTTCATTTACTTCTTGCAACCAATGTGAAATGTACATGACTGTGACGTGACTGTGCTCAGAACACTGTGGTTGTCATCCATGACCACAGCACGAGTGATGATGAGCAGTAGCTTCGGGCATACTGCCACAACGCAGGAGTGCTGGAACAATTCTACCACAGTACAGAAGCATGCCCATCCAACCAGCTAGCTGCATCGTGGTGAATGAAAGATGTGCCGCCGAGCACCTCGATGACCAAAATATAATGGGATGCGTGAGTCGTAGTCGAGGGGGCCTCTCAGATGACTACATGGGTCTTACGATGCGGCCACACTGCTCTGGAAGTTGCAAGGCAACAAGAAATCGTGACGTTGCCATCGGGATTCCTCGCAATTTTAGGCAAGAAGATTTTTTTATGTAGTGGCACTCATTAAAACTTTGTTGATATGGAAGTGGCCAGAAAAACTATTCATGGTGACAAAATGTTTTTCACGGTATTTCCTATGGGTGGCTGACAGGGAACTAAAATTTTTTACTGCAGCAGAATTTATGTAGTAGCTGTGTTAGCTTAGTGAGATTCAACTCCCTCGCATAGATGCTTGAGTGTATCTAAAGTTCTGCTGTTTCACAATGAAATGCGATCAATCTGTTTTTAATAGGGCACATATCTGCGGTTGCAAACCTTTGTCTTGATCGACCATTATGGTCAGCTGTAACAAGTGTGGACTGTATTTCTGCAAAGAACATGCAAACATTTCTGCAACAGAATCTCACAAGAAAATGTACAGTTACTTGACAGTACAGCCAGCTTTGTAGAGAGACATGTTTACTATACACAATTCAAAAATGAGAAACAATGTGAACTACAGGTGAACTGGGTCATGACATCGAACGCTATTCGCTGCAAACAGTAATCCTGCTCCAAAAACAAGTCATTCATTATATTCACTGTTGAGGTACCTAAACTTTTGTTTACAACAACATTTTCATCATATATGCCCTGCAGTTAAAAGGTGGTTCATGATAGTCTGGTGACAAAGCATTTTTTGAATGGGCCAGAGCATACATAGCGCACTGATAGAGTGTCGATATTTTGAGTGCTGTGTTGCAGCGGCTAAGACCGAGGGGGGGGGGGGGGGGGTGTTGTTCAGTTTAAGGCTTGTTCCCCTCCTAAATTTCTAATTGTGCATGGATGCACTTAAGAGCACAATTTGAGCTGTTTTTCTATCTTATATGCACTAATTCACATGCACACACAAACATATACAAAGTATGGCTCAATTCCCTCTCCCCCCCTCCCCCCAGAAAAAAGAAAATTCTGGCTATGTTACTGATCTAGCGTAATGAAACACTGTGTTCTGTAAGTGCTCTCATTTACAATATCCAGCACACTGACCTTACACGGACTGTCCCAAAATTCGGGGATAGCCCTCAGTTCACAGAAAAGCTTGCCTAATTATATGCAACAACAGAGTGCTGCTGTGTAATGTGATGACAAATATCTAAATGATAAAGTGTTTTGGTTTCTACGCATCCGAAAATCTGTGCTAACATCTCATCCCCTTTCAAGCTAGAGACTTTCTAAACACACACATCCAATGACCAAATTGTGCTTCCTGCCCATCCACGATGCACAGATGCTATAGGCACAGATGCTGTAGTGTCGTCATTCTTTGAGATCCTTATCCATTTTTACTTGTACGTATGAACTTCATCTTCAGCACCATGAGAAACCTCAGAATGTATGCCAAATGCATAGCCACTGCATTTGCTCCTTACAGGGAGGTGTGTGATAGAGTGCAGTTCACTTCTGACTCAGCATTTGAGTCTGTAGCTGGCTAAATACAGCCAATACTTTTTTGCTTAGAGAACGCTGCTTTGATCAAATTTCCAGAAAAAAAAATGCTTTATGTGAACTTTTTCAAGCTAGTACACCAAGTATGCATTGTTGCTTGTACCGTAACACTAAACTATAAGTGAGAAATTTGCATATTTTTTAATGCTAATGCCTGTAAAGTTTTATACACTATTCACTTCTCAACCTTAATACTTTTTTTTGCACTTATTGCAGCCTTATAAACCGAAAATTCACTTGCATTTTAGTTTATATGGTTGCCTGCATTGTCTTTGTGGTTTATGAGGTTCATCAAATCTCGTCTTTGTAAAACTAAAAAAATTTCAAAAATTACTTAGTATTGCTGCAAATTTTCTACAATTGGGAAGCACTGCTACTTATTACTACTATATTTTAACACCTTTTATGAGCACTGAAATATTTAAATTCCCGCAGAAAAGCTTCCTACACCCCCCCCAAATAACTTACAGAAGTGAATTGTGAAACAACGTGTTTTAACCGCAATATTTTGTAACATAATCAAATGCTGTCAAAAACAGTGCCTTTTGGTGTGGAATGACCCTTTTTGAATGGAAGTTCAATTCTAGATGAACATATCACACAGGGTCTTCAAGGGTGTCTGTAAGTGAAGCACAACATTTGAAGTCCTCGTACCTTCACACAATCGACAGCATCTCTGGTCCATTCAGTACAGGAAACTAATACAAGCATACAGGATCGTGACATCTTACAAATCTGGTATTGGGGCATTCAACAGCGATCTCAGGTTCGCCGCGCTTTGGCCTTTCGCCTCGTGTCAGCAGGTGAACCTGTGGTCCCCTCGGTGTTCTTGGCTGTGCCACTAATCTGCCTCACTAGGGTCCGCAGAGTCTGTGCAATGTCTGCACCCATGGTGAGCAGGCGTGAAGAGTAGTAGCAGGCGAGCAGTGCTACCACCGTCACAGGCAGGGCGAGCAGCGAAGAACGAGCCACGATCTCGTGCTCAAGGTGTAGCGGCAGCTCGGGCGCATGACGCAGGGTCACATGACGGTGTGACGTGTTGCCGTGGAAGCAGGTTCCACCATTATTACTGCTCCCTTCGAGCTGAAGGCAGTAGGTGCGGCCGTCCCGGGTCAGCGGTGGAAGAAGGAAGAAGCCCCCGGGACCCGGTGTGACCGTGTGCAGTGTCTGGTCGGGTGCATCATCCACCACCACACGTATCTGCAAACGGCACAAAGATTGACCAGTAGCCTGTTAGTATACATAACTTGCACGTGCGTGACTTCTTGCCGCTCCTGGCACTGCATCTACCACTGCCCGGAACCAACGAATTTGGTTGCCCTCTCTCTGTGTTACCCATGTCTTCACAAGGATCCAACCATGTGCAATATTTTGTTGCTGAGTAAGAAGCAAGAGTGCTTGGAGAGAATTACACAGCTTTCTTAGAATAAAAACTCCTCTGTGTGAAAGTGCGAAGGTTCACACCAAAAATCACGGGAGCCTCAGTCTTTCCCACATTATTAGAAAAACTTAAAGCACATGCGTCTTCCTTTTCTGAATCCTGCCATCAAGGTTATAAAAAAAAAAATCTGTTTCTCCGCTAGGACAAAGAAGTGTATTCAACAGCAACAAATTATAAAGCTGGCAGCTAACTCTTTTGAATCTGATTTGATGATGACAAAAACTTTGTTCAAGTCTAGAGAACACACAGTGAAGACCCTCCACCATCCGGGATATCGCGTAACTCTACAAAACACTGGTGTAAGAAAATATGACTGCGCCACAGAAAGATGAGCATATCGCACAGTCTTTTCCTGCTGAGAGCACATCACGTAGATGGGTTCAGGAGTCATTTGCACTTGTAGAGATAACACGTGCACCAGCAATCATTACCACACCTTTAGAATGAAACTTCACAGCTGCTCCTTGAGTGATCACAGTCTTCAAGAAACCAAAACTGTTTCGATGAAAGGATATTTAAACCACATTTCCAGTCACAGGGTCAGATTTTTGTCGCACCTTTCAGCTACATCAGTGTACTATGGCGTAGTACGGCGGCACTGATAAACGAGCTTGGAACAACTGAGATGGTTCTATGCAGGATGGCGCAGGTAAACAAGTTTGGTGCAAATGATGCAGCTGTTCCACGCCTGCACATATTGCCTCATACGTATATAAAGACAGCAAAGTACGAACACTTGTATGACTTTGTTAGGAAGAAAAACAAGGCTTACACTTCGTAATTTACTTTTATATTGCATCAAGGATCAGAACAAGATGGGCATATAATCGTGGTTCTCAGCCATGGATGTGCCGGGGACCCCTTGTGTACTGATGGAAGAGATGGAGAAGCCCTTGTAGCGGAGGGGAGGGAGTGGTACATAGGTAAATTAAAACACAACTGGAGCGGGAAACAGTTGCCTTTCATTGCTACCAAAAACATCAAGGAAACGTGCCACATCCCTTCATTTTGGACAGTTCATTATTGCGTGGCACAGTAACATCTAAAGAAAAATGCGGGTGAGGGTTTCGCAGATCATAGAAATAGCTTCCGCAGAACCCCATTTGAGAACCACTGATCTAGAGCAATAACATAATAACCTGCATGAATGCAATGCGCAATATAGGTAGACGAGGACAAGTTAACAAAAGAATACAATGTAATAAGTTAAAAAATAAAAGAAAAGAGCACATTTGTGTCCAGTCTGCCCACACTTGAAGGTCCCATGCTTGTAGCAGCTGACAGAAATCACGCAGCCTCGCTTTATGCGGTGCTACATTACGTCATCTTTTATGCTTACTGGGGCGTGATCTCTTTTCTCCCTTGAATGAAAATATGGCCTTACCTTCTGAACTTCGTCAGTGCTGTGAGAGAGCCGTAAACCACACAAACACAATCCTTGCATGCGATCTAGTTGGCACCAACAGTTAGTTGTAAATGTGAAAACTAAGGGCACGTGCTCACACACATGTACACAGACAGACACAGACATACACACACACATGACTACAGTGATGAAAACTAAAGGCAGCATGTCTACAACAAGTCTTCCTTCTTTTTTATATTCAATACTGGGTGATTCCATGTAAGGTCCAACAAAGCATGGCCAGTCAACCCTTTAAATTTCTTTCAAAACTTTATATATTGTTGCCTGATGAGTGAAAAGAAGAGATCCGCAATGGGTTTTGCTGGAAAAGATGTGTTCGAAGCATGGTAAATCAATAATAATGGAGAGGTGAAGAGCCAGGCTTACCTGCTCTACTGTTCTTTACGACTTTGGCGATGAATAAAAATATATATATATATTAAGGCTATGTACCTCAAGTTTGTTTAGCTAAATATAGGCATATTTGTGCTTACATTCAGTTATTTTTCACTTCTCTGGGTAGTTCAGGTATTCTTATAAAAAATCCTATAATGGACCCACAAAAGTTTTTTTGCCTACTTTGCAGGCCTTTATTTCAAAAAGGGCCTATGACAGAGCAGTGAAAACTCGGCATTACTTTCTCAGCATGCTTATTCATAAAACTGCCAAAGCTTATATTAATAACACTTTTCAATAAAAAGATATAATTGCACTATCTCTAAAAAACAGCATGCAAGAAAAACTTTTGACAATGATTAAAAAAAAAACATTTTTGCAGTCGAGCCCACATATAATGACCCCACTTAAAACAAACTGTCACTTAGAATTAACAATATCCGTGTGACCGAGAAATCATACATTTTTTCTATGGCACGAAATCGCACTTACAACGAACATCTCTGGGCATCGCTGATCGGTTACAGCAAATGCAGTTGATACTCCGGCGACCACCGATAAGCCACCAGTGTGGCGCCCATAAATTCTTTGTAAACACTGCCCCTGCCCCCGCATCCCTCTAGTTGTCGCTGTCCCCGACATTTTTTTATCATGCACCCCCTTGTCCTTTATCCCCCCCGTTACTCTGAGCACCCCGCATCACCAGACAGAGCCCGTGTTTTCTGACTGCCACTGATCTTTCAAAGACCGGTCGACCAACTACTCTCCCTCAATTTTCATAGTATAACTTCAAGAGCTCTTTAAATAGAAACAGCAGGGGAAATCGGCATGAACCGCCAAAATATCATCTGATAGATAAGTGCTTGTTCTGTTGCATAAAGCATCAGTGCCAGTGGTGCGATAGATTCACCCTGGAGAGCGGCACCAAAATTTGTGCTGTCATTACCGCACACTCTGAGGTACGCGGCACTTTGAAGTGCATAAGGCCAAGTTTCATGGCTCTGACACAACTAGAAAAGGAAGAAATTTCCAAAACAAAAGACACCTGGGCAAGCCTGCGAATATAATTTCCGTCGAGACTGCGCGTATCTTGCTTAACCGAAAGGTATGCGCACACCTCATCGCCTTCTCTGACTGTCAGAGTCCGATCGAAAGACTAATTGTCACTTTCCTTAGTTTTATTCAGGTAGCTTAGTGGCACCGGCATCAGCCTGAGCAGCGGAGTTAGGTCACCGATCAATGTTTCACAAGGTACAGCATGCGATCGCTGTAACTTGTATTTTAAAATATATGACACATCATCAAATGTAACGAAAATACAGATACAAAATACTCAAATAGTATCTAAGACAGTATCTCAGATACTTCCCAGCCTTGCGGAAGACTGAGCACAACATGTTGGTTTGAAGAATGTATCAAATTTGTCATCACGTCTGGCTTTTCAATTTGGCATGATACTGTGTTGAGTATTTATGTCTTGCCATTGTAAATTAGCAGTGATAAACACGGTAGTGAATGATTAAGGTCAGTGTTGCACACGTGGGTTCACTGAGGCACTGCGGCATCAAGCTGTGATATACAGTCGAGCCTGCTTATAACGAACCTGAGCGTGATGTGGCATCCGTTCAGTGTATGCTAAAGTTCGTAGTAAATGAAACACAGCTTTTAAAAAAGTTGCGAGTGAAAACAAAAAACTTTTTTTTGCCCACAAAAGTCCGTGATGCACGTGTTTCAAAGAACAGAAACGATAAGGGCGGTCTCGAGTTCATTTAAAACGGCAGGCTGCTCGTTTGCCGAGGCCCGTGGCATAAGCTGCATGAGGCGCTGGCTCCAAAGCTTCGTCATTCTCGCGATCCGATTCCTCAAATCGCTCTCGCCACGTACTTCATTCACAATGCCCCAATCTGTGCACGGTTCCGCAGTGTCGGCATCATCATCGGCCGTAATTAAATCATCGCAGCACATGTCCCACCCGCTCTCCCAGGTTGGAGTCGACGACGCGCTGGCACAAATCACCGCTGTAGTGGTCCTGTTCGGAAGCTTCAGGCTCGGCATCGGGCCCGACAATCGACGAAGTCGTCCTCGCGAAAATAGTTTCGTGCACATGTAGCCGTCACCGCCGCCCACGAAATATTCACCATCTCCACAGCTGAATACCGGGACGCCTGAAACGGCAAGTTGGCTGCCAGGAGGTCAACAGCTATGAGCAAGCGCTCCGCAACGCGGTACCTAACACGCGGATTACGCTCAAGCGAAGCAGTCACACTTTCGACGTTTTGTTGAGCGGCACGAAAAAGCGTGCTAGTCCTCCCGTCGGCCATCATGACCACACACACACACCGAGAGCGAGCAAGACACGCACACGCGTGGAGCAGCTCTGGGCGCGTTTCCAGTCGAAAAACGAAACTAATTCGAGCCAGCGTGGTGGACGTCACAGAGCAGTGGAGACGGGCGAAGGGGTTGTGATCAAGAGAGGAGAGCAGACTTGCGAGAGAAGGGCAAGGAGTTGCGATAAAGCACAGGGAAATGAAAGATTCCTTTCTCCGTGCGATAAAGAGAGGGGAGGATGCGGCGGGCGGGCGGGCGACCTTGAAAACCAAAACACACGGGAAGGAGGTAGGTTGGGTAGCTTGCTTGAAAGGTTCGCGAAACTTGCACGTAGAAAAGCTTGAAAAGAGTGCCAGCGCGCGCAGAAGTCAAAGCATGGCCACCTCGCTCGATGCGTGCGGCGGCGTTTGAAGAATCGGTGGCCGTGATAAAAAAAAATCGTCTCGTTGCACCGGCGGGTTTGCGTGGCCTCACGAACTTCGATATTTCGCGATTCGTTCTGCGCAAATTAACAGCCATTTTCGCGCTTCCGCACGTACCCAGAAGGCATGCTGAGCCGAGTGCAAAGTGAGCGAGAATAAGCCCTAAACACGAAACGAATAGCAAATGATCAGAGTCGGTGGGGTTGCA